CTGCTTACTTATGAAAGACGTCGGATCAGCATTTCGCATATTTGTGAACGACTCGATAGTAGTCACTCGATAGTAGTCACAAATATCCGAAATGCTGATCCGACGTATTTCATAAATAAGCAGTCAGAGGTTTTCAACATGGTCATAAGTAACGCTTGCCGAAGGACATGGCCAAGAATGTTTGAAGGCAAAAAACTAATCACGACATGAATCTCCGCTCAATCTGAACCACTCAATCTGACAAGCAAACAAAGAAAAAAAAAAAAAGAGGGAGCACATTTGCCAAGATCTTATGGATACGATTTCTGGTTCAAAAGAACATGGTTTTCGTCCCTAACCCTTCATAATCTCCTGATCTTTTTAAAGTCCAAATGTGTGTTATCACCGTTTCTTTAATGGAGTCACTCTAACGCCTGGCTGTAACAAACAACCGACACCGAAAACGTTGCATAATTCCTGCCACACTTGAACAAAAACAGCTTGAATTGTTTAATCAGTGAAAGATATTTATTGTTTTTTTTTTCCTTCGCGTTCTGACCTGATTTGCAATAGGGCATTCTTTTTCTAGTTTTCGCTTTTGGTTTTGTGTTCTGATTTTGTTGCCATAGGAAGTTACGTTGCTGTCGAACGAAGTGCAAGGTAGGAATAAATCTACAAGCTCCGATTTGCTCAGGAGAGCAGTTCTTTTTGCTTGTGTTCGGTCTCATGTAAATATGTCTTGCTTGGGGATCCTTTGATTTAAATGCACAACAAATGCACCACGAATGTATCAAATTATGGACAAACGGTAGTAAAATATATTTCGGGATTTTTTTTGCGTAATAGGCTTAAGTCATTATAATAAAACTGTTCCGATTTTAAATCCCGATATAAATCGTGACTTAAATCATGATTTATATCACATTTATTTTTCTCTTACACCCTTATTGTAGACTATAAAACAAACTCTTGTCCAAAAAAAAACTCTTCGCGCTTCTTCGGCTTGTTCATATTTTACAGCCTAAAGAGTTATTTTAAGGCAACGCGAAAAACGCTCTTCGTGAAGACCGTGTGAGGGGTACTGTTAATCTCCCTTTTTATGCTAAAGAGCCCTTCATGGCCCATTTGTCTTTCTAGTACGCCAGGGGGCGACAGTGCATGGGGTGAAACCATTTTTCACAGGATGAAAGAGCTCTTGGGGGCGACAAATTGAGCTTTTCAAGAAAGGATTATTTTTTAGTTTATCCCAAGCTGTTAATGGTCGCTCCCAACCTGTCATGGGTGCCTTTAGCTTGGTTTTCTGATTTATTTGGCAAAGAATATACATTCCGCCACACATGCTTTGATATCTTGATCCATTTCTGGCCATCCCATGAAACTTCTAGCACAAAAGGCTCACTAAGCAGCGCCGTTGGTACCACAACACGTAACCCCCATGGTAAACATCCTCGTTGTGTCGATGATTCAGTGTCCATGCTCTAGAATGGCTGCAACACGCCGGCTCTGAGCTTTCTGACGTTTCCGCTTTGGACGGTGTCGCACACACAACGACATCTCTGGTGTTCTCTGCTGGGCTCTCAGCCCTAATCGGCGTCCCCGCTCTCCGGTAAAGTTTGTCTGATCACCGCGTCTACATCATGTTTTTTTTCTTCTTATGAATAGATCAGATCGTTTTCATAAACTGCGATTTTAACATACCACCGTTTCATGCGTGGCGATAGAATAGGAGGAACCGGATTGTGCTGGCCCATCATCTCCAGCACAGGTTTGATTGATAAACCGTTCTGATGGTCACATATCAAAAGGAAATGTAGCTGTGAGACCGACTTGTGGCATAGACTCGCGCCCAGCTTTCGTGACATAACATGCACCGAAAGCTTGTGCCCGTGACTTTCTCGGCCAAATAAACGCGCGATACACAATAAGAAAACATTTTCACAAAATATGCTATTATAGCCGCATTTTTTGTTTAACATATGCACGGATCTTTACACCGGTGAATGATCCCCTACTAGGAGATAAGCCTTTAACAAACAACCAGAATAAAGATCGTTGAGTTAAACCATCGGGACGACCCCCTTGAGCATATTCCTTCTCTTGCTTCACTTCAGTTTGACCGTTTTACACTTTAATGCGTTGAAAACCAGGTTAAAAAAGACGCGGGCGAACTTATTTAAGGTACAATATTTTGAGTCAGAAATTTGGGGGCAAAGTAGAAAATCCCAAACACAAAGTTTCCGACTTGTGACTCTCCCTTAAGTCTCAAGGCCCACAGGGTTGAATACCTACTTTGATTTGGGTGTTTCCAATTACCATTGCACCGTGCACAAAACACTGCAAATGTTTATCCCACACTTCATTACCAAGCAATGAAACAGAACTCAACCACATTGAGACGGTTTTCTCACAGCTCAGCGCACTGGGAACGAAACTTGCGAAATGGGGGTTCTAGGCAATGACCCGCCTGGCAGAAGATTTGGTTCCGCGGACGTTCTAAATGTGTACCGACGTTTCAAGGATGTCCTGCGGGCGTGGTTAAGACATATTTTCCATCTAAACCTCAATACGTTTTAAAAATAAATAAATAAAAAGGAAGCGCATGAGGCACGGCCGTTATTGCTTAGAGTTCACGGCGGAGGTTGCTTTCAGTTACAGTGATACCCGCACTGACGTTTACGTCGCTTTAACTGTACCGGCCTATTCTAAGTCTAAAGCAGAACGTTCAGCCTAAGCACTTTGCAGGACTAAAGTTCAAAGATGGTTGCATTAGCAACCAGCTAGGGCATCAGCGTGTCCAGAACATTTCTAGTCCTTAAAGCCATTTGGTTACAAAAATTAAATATTCAAACTTTACTTCCTTCCAGGAAAAACAGCTGATTGGAACAAATTTTACCCGATCTCGTAAATGTAGCAATTTTACAGATTTTCTAGCGCTTTGTACCAAAAGCGCAGCACTAAACTCCTTCCTAGATACGGTCTCGAAAGAAACCAGCTGTATAAATAAATAAAGAACAAAAACCCCTAATTATGATTTACTTTTACAAAATAAAACATGAGCCATTCTACTCCGTGAAGGTGAATGACCAGCAAACCTGTTTAATACACGATACAGACGTCACACAAAATTTTGAACAAGGGTACGAACACATTTATTGTCTTGATCGTTGGTCATCGGGACGAAAGCTACACACCCTCATGTCGAGGACTATCGTCGCCCCTAGGAGCCGGAGGAAACTAGACACGCGTGACGGGACCGCTACCCGGCGGAAGGAAAGGAAACTAGGCACGCAAGCGCTTAGAACGGCGACAAAGAGAGGGTGGTGCGCTTCCCTCCTCCTCCTCCTTCGCGCTAATTTTTCAGCTAAATTTAGCTGGAATTTCCCCGCTAAATTTAGTGGCGAAAATGGAGTTTTGGTTGACGCACACGTAACATCCATGGAACCCTATGCATAAACGGGTTTGCTGAATTATACCCCGAAAACACTGACCCTGTGTATCAAACTTTCTGTGAACATCAACGCCCGTTTGAGCCCCAGCAATTAATTGCATGTAAGACTAATTGCGTTACAACTTCTTGAATTCTCCTGTGAAGCTTTAGTGAACTTCCGCAGGCAACACGGCAGAGAACCGCCTAACTTGGACCGAGTTTGACAATCTGAGGTGCCAAACTGGGGCCTAGTTAGGTTTGCTCCAAGCCGTTACTTTGTGCCAAAGTACTTTTCTTTGGCTTTGCTGTGTTTTTTCTTCGGTTCTCCGCATAATCGCATGAGTGTTAGGCATGAGCCGAAGATGCCATGTTTCAATCGGACAACCAGCAATGAAGCCTAATTCTCGCATTTCCTCAAAAACTAATGCCCAAAAAAGCCAGGTGGCAACCGAACGACTGCAGTGATGCCTAACTCTGGAACTTCTCCTAAAGTTAAGGTCGAAATGCCCAGACTCTGGATAACGAATATCAAGATTGTTTATACCTCGTGTTTCTTGAAATTTCAGGTCTCTAAATTATCAGACAAAGACAACATTTTAGCCCACAGAACTGTGCTAGATATGTTGATTGCCGTACCGGCCGCAGTAGCATCGTATCGTAAACAGTAATGGTTAAGCGAACACAAATGAAAGTATATTAGCCAGTTTTAAACGTCCGAAACCTGATTGTTGTGAAGAGCTAAAGAATGCCAAAAAAATATCAAGAAAACAATTTAGAATCGGCTGATGAGATCTTACTTTGGATTTCCCACTTGTCGGAACTGCGCAACTGAAAGCAAAATCGCAGCAAGCAAATCAGGCGTAAGCGGCGTACGATCCTTGTAGATTTATTGGCTCTTATACGAAACCTGAACTTGAATGTTGCTTTTCCGGTAGTCACAGAAGAGCAGTAGCCGTTTCGCTAAAAAAAAAAACAAAAAAACACCTAAAGTTTTGTAAACCTGACGTTTTCTTAATCCTGCTAAATCATCGCACAGCTAATATTCCACAAATGATCTGGAATTGAGGTTCAGCACTTGACTCTATGTTTTAGAAAAACGTGCGTTTGTACAATTATTTTCTTGGTTTGATAAGGGAACAAGCTGACAGGCTCGAGTGTGACCGCTGGCTGCGAAATAGTTTCTGTTTTTTCGTAAATTCAGAGCATACAGGTTCTAGCTTTTCGTTACTATACTTAGCATCAGCACTTTTTACCGCCTAGCTGTTAAATTCATGTTGATCAACAAGACAATATCAAATGACCTTTCGAACCACCGATTTCACAAACCTCACTCCAATTGAGGCGCCCCTCCACTTCCTCAAGGAAGGCGCGAGGGCCGGCTCTGGCCAATCGCGACGGCGGATGAGCAGCCTAGGCCGCCTATCCGTCGTCAAGATTGGCCAGCGCCTGCCCTCGCGCCTTGCTCAAGGAAGTGGAGGGGCACCTCAATGGGGGGTGAGGTTTGTGAATTCGGCGGTAAATGTCAGCAGTTCCAGGGTTGATATAAGCCTCTTTGTTCCCTCGATGCACCCATAAGCCAGAACGTTTCAAAGCGATGCTTGCATTTATTTGTGTAGTTGCAGCTTTGCTAGCATGTTCCGATGCTGCAAAATTATCGGAACAGCAGAGGAAAGGACTTCAAAGGAAGAATACCAATAACGCTTGGTTGGTACGTACCCTGTTTTGTTGAAGTGGGCAGGCTTAATTACTGCTTGTGTAACGATGAAAATAGGTCGAAATGTCAAATAATACCCAAACATCACCTTTTTTATTTTTAGTTGGTACCGGGCTTGGTGCCCGGCTGAAAAGTGTGCTCTTTTGGTATTATGTATTTATCATGTCCCCTAGAGTGCGCCAGGTAATTTCATAGCTTTTTAATTCTGCGCTGCACCGAAATTCTCGCGGTATCACATCAATAAAGGTGGATGGACGCCTAGCGTCTGTCCAACAGTACCTCTATGCTCTGTAGTCGTCATGCAGTCATAGACATCACCAATCAAACTTTAGGACGCCGAAACGACAGTAACATCTGCGTCCGCTTAAGCTACCCATGTATCGTTCACTCCGAAAATTGGGTGGTATATAAAACCATCCACACCGGTGGGAGACACGCTGGAAGCATCAATGTTTAGAGGCGAACATTGTTATTTAAATAATAAGTTGTTTTCAAGATAGAAACTTGTCAGTGAAGTAGCTTCTATAACGTATGCGGAATTATAAATCGAGGAACTTGCAAAGCAATACGCGAGAAATGCCGTCGCGTGTGCGTAACACGCTCTAATATTTATCAAGAAAGTTGTATGGTGAATTTCTAATAGTGAACTTTCAAGTCGTAGCTGAGTTTCTGTAAAGCATTAGAACATCCTGCCTGGTATCGTTAGCGTCATTGTAGTCTTTCAACCGCGGAAACGGTTATATTCCCGGGGAGAATTTTACACTGTAATAGTGCATTATTGATTAATATCATCTAAAATATGAAGGTATGATTTTGTGTCGCTAGGACCGACATATTTGTTTCATTTGTTCTTCGAGAGAACTTCTGCAGCAAATTTACTTTCTGATCACTGTCATAAAGAAACTTAATATTTCCTTGGATGAGCGTCGTATTCACAATATGCATCTAAATTAAAATTCCATTGTTTAAATAAATATGTCTTATACTTTCGGAAAACATTTAATGTATTCCAATCTCTCCCATCGCTCAGTGCGAACTTGAGATAGAGCTTCTCAAGCTGCGATGTTTGAAGTACGCCGCTGTTTATCCTTAGAGTCGAGTCCGACGGCAGGGAAGGGTTGGTGTGCGAGGAGTAAATAAAAAATGAGTGTCATCAGTTATACGCTGAATTACTTCTTTTGATTAGTGTTGTTGCTGATGGAGCGCTTGAATATCGGCGCTCGAGTGATATTATTTGAGAAGTCTGATTACATGGTGTTGTTATTTGATTTCAGCTGTTTACGGCTAAACATAAATATTACCTTCTGTATCGTTCCGTAGAAAACGATACTGCATATGGAGGATTCAAACCGTGTGTTGAAATATCATTAAAAATGTGTTGGGACCGCAGTCTGGAGCTCTGGTACAATTTCAATTATCAAGATATCTATACAAGTCACTTGTACGTATCATATTTTACCGATTCTTAGAACAAATATGCAGCAGTTAAAATGAAATATAAAGCTTATGTACACGTACGTTTTTGTTGCTTATTCACCAAAGGTTTCACCAAGGGGAAGTTGTGAAGTTGTAACCGCCAGTAAAAGGAGAAGTAATATATGATTTCCGTGTTTGTGCAAACAAAAAAATATATATATCGCGATACATCGCAAGACAATAAAAGTGTGCGTGGCTTTTGATCAATGCTGCTCAACCTGAACACGAGCCAGTGAAGCGTGTGCATGCACAGCAATACAGAGGGTACAGGGTCCTTCTCCAACTCTAAAATGCCTCGAACACAAAGGTGTTCAAGGCGTCGCGCGGAGCGAGATGTCTTGTGACGCTCTCGGCTTCTAGCATAGGCTGCGGTCAATCCTTAGGTGAAACGGAGTATAGCCTGGGGTCTTTAGGTGCACCACGCAGTAGTGGTTACACAAACGCACGCCGATGCTGGCTCTCCGTGCAGCGTGGTGCCAGTCAGCAGTCATGCTGCACTGACCGGGAAGATACTGTGACATGTTGGCCCTCTGGATGGCTGCCAAATATTATGCTGTCCAAATGATTCACATAAAGGCCGGTTCACACATGCAGCGGAGCGCTAAGTTAGCGCTACGTGAGCGCTCTGAGGAGCGCTCATGTGGCGCTTCCTATAGCGCGTGATGTAGCGCTCGGTTTGCGCTTCAGAGGCGCTCTTTTAGCGCTTCAGAAGCGCTTTGTTAGCGCTCTGTTAGCGCTACAAAAGCGCTTTGTTAGCGCTCTCACGCACCGTGTACCGTGCTTGCTGCTGCGGAATAGCGTGTGCACGGCGATTCTTTTGTTGTTGTTTTTCCTTTGGCATTGGAAGAGGAAGTAAAAGAGCCGCTTTCCAAGCAAAGGGTCGGGCAGGCGATCCAGAGTCATGAACTCTGAGCGACTAATTGCTTGGGTATGACCACATCGCTTTTTAATTGATATGCGTGACCCTGGTTTCAAAGACACGCAGTTAAAAATAATCGCCTTCGAAAGAGCTCTGTGTATGGGTCAGCCTATAGTCAGTTACAGGTTAAGAAGGTAGCGGCAAATGCCCCTCAAAGGGAATCAGATATCCCTCCGCCACCTCCGCATCCAATAGCGTCCCACCGTTTCCGTGACGTCGCGGCCAACGCGCGAGGAGGGTCTTGCCTTTCTGTACATATTTGCTTTATCTTTCGACTTTGACTTAGCATTGTGGAAGCCACGAGAGGGAGATTAGAGTTCTCCCCCACCGACGGAAACAAATACGACTTTCGGGGATTAGCTTCCCCCCCGATGGATACAAAGGCTGCTTTCAAGGGCTCGGTTCCCTCTCCGATGAATACAAAGGTCGCTTTCTTAAAAAGTGAGATCGGAGACAAGTGGGAATCCACTGAAGCGGAACAAGGAGCGTTTCCAGTGAACTCTTCTTTCGACTGCGGAGAGATTTGAAACACGCGCATCACACCAGTTTTATTACGCCACCGCTGCCGCCATGCATCGTGGGAGATGTAGTATTTCTGCACGCGCGACAATCCCGCTGAGGACCTGCGCGAGCAGAGCACGAGGCGGCAAGAGCTGCCTCGTGAACTGGCGCATGCCTCCTATGAACTACAGTGATGGCGGCGTTACGCATGCGTGAAACCCTTAGCGAGATCGTTCTATTAAACACGCTTATGTGACTAAAAACACGCAGCTGCGTCGGTCGATCTAGAAGCGTTGCCTTCGCTTCGGCGCTTCGACGCGCGCCCCCAATGGCCTCCTTCGCGACGTCACGAGAAGAGCGCTACGGTCTTAGACTGTCACCTGATCTGACTCTCGCGCAGCGTAGTTTCTTTGCCGAGCAAGAAAATGCGCGTGCGAAAAACGTCAACATTCAGGTGTATGCGTGGAGAAATGGTTCGTTAGAACTTAGAAGTGTATCATTTCCTTTGAAGTCTCTACTGAAAATACTGACGTAGTTTATAGAATAAAAAAAAAAACGGATTAAACATTTGATATTTACGTTCCTTTCTCAGCCTTCATTTATCTTTTGAGGTGCTGAAAGCGAACTTCCAAAAAACTATTTACGCATCGTGGCTCAGTTTTTTGGTTAGGCTTTATCAAAGTTTCGATATTATGATTGCACGAAAACTAGTAAGATATACTATAAAAACTGGTTTATTCAATATTTAAGATATTAATATTTGTCTTTTATGATTCATTGCATAATGATGTATGTTTCATTGTTTCATACTGTAGCTATTCACAGCCCCAAATGTGGATCTTCATGATTGATAAATCTGGCAAACAAAAAGACTTAGTGAGGATGCGCTTCGATTATTATGAAGGTAAGCCATTACTCGCATTGTTTTACATTAATATGCTCAACTATATAACGACATTTTTAATTTATTAAATCAAGAACCGTATTGTGCTGCATCGCAAAAAATAATTATTTTGACCGATATCAAACTGCACACACAGAAGCCTGCATTCGCTATGCAAGAGTAAGAATCAAGCTTTTCTGTGTAAGCAAGCAAGCAAAAATATAAAAATGCAAATTTATCGTGAAAATTCTGATAAACACTGAGTTTACAGAATGTGTTGTGCGTGCATTACGGGTCCGGTAATAAATTGTTATGCTTGGTTACCGGGAGCTTTGGATGATTTGAAACGCGTTGTGGCCCCTTGTCTTATCAGAATGATTAAGGCTATTTAAAATGGATTCAGGAGTGGAGTCAGCTGCCAGCGGCGACAGTCGTCTGCTACTGCAGGCTCCCATGGGCTATACCTATACACCAACTCATGTTTACAAACAAACCGGAGCGCCCGGAGCGCCCCTAGCGGACGCCACCGGCGCCGCGCATGCGCAATGGGGGTGTGGGCAAGACGTTCGCCGTCGCCCATAAACAAACCATTGAAATGCGATGTTGTCGGCCTCGGTGTGAGTCCCCGCGCTCTTTTTCGCGTTGGAATTGTTGATTCTACGTCTTCCTGGCGATGTCTGACTACTTGAGCGGCGTCAGCGAAATTACCGAGGCTTGTTACACCGCAAAACTTCGCGTGAATAATCTGACATGCTGCGATTCATTCCGCGTGGACGCCGCAGAATGTACGCTAAAGCCTGATTCATATGACGAGATTTCGCTCGCAATTTTCAGTAGCGACGTCGCTTGGACTGTAAAAGTGTGAACCGTAGCTGAGATGGTCAACGTCGATACTGAAAATCGCAAGCAGAATCTAACCGAGTGAATCAGGCATAACAAGTCGCTGATGGCCACTGGTAACAATGATCAACATCTCCTTGTATCTACTGTTTACGTCGAGCCTGCTTACCAACCTTCAAACTTAAGTCTTTTGAGGCCTGCACTTCTTATCGCAAGTACCGGGCCCACGTTTGGTTTGCGGGCCGGTGTCCTCTAAAAGAGCAGACGACAAGCAGAAACTTTTGAAAGAGCAGACGACAGTTCGAACGATCAGGCAACCGTTTGAACTTGAAGGCGCACTGAACGTAGTCCGCAGGTGGTCCGTACAACTTGACGGTTTTCCGGCGTTCATTTTGAAGCAAAACGAATAAATATGATGGCCAGAAGTATCCGTGAATTCAACCCAAAATGCTTCCCGCCCAAGCAATCGTGGTCCGACGGCGTCTGATTTTCCCTTTTCACGGCACTTATCCACGTTCTCGGACAAACCGAGCGCATGAAAATGACCTTCAAACCTTTCTCGACCCTTTTGGTACAGCCCCAGTCGCAGAATTTTGACAAGAAGGCAGGTTTTTGTCTGGTTCCTTTCAAAACAACGGAGGAATACACGTCTCAGATGGGCACTTCCGCCCACAGCCCCGGACCGGAAGTGCGTCCGACGCGCCACCACCGCGCCGTGACGTAACAGAGATGAGTTCGTGTATAGTCCAGTGGCATGTGCTCTCGTTCGCTTCCTCCTCGTGGCGTCAAGCTCAAGCGCCGGGATGCTGATTGCGCCGTCCGAGACTAGATTTCAACCGCTCGTTCAATCTCGGCAATTACATTTGAGTATTCTTAGTAATAATGAAGTCTTACTAATCATGGCCTAAGTACGGCTTCTATGCTTTTCATGCTTTTGCAATGCCTGTTACGGGCTCTGTGTGCTTTATTTTCATTTGGCCATGTAACGGCCTCTCGTTTCACTCGAGTGTGACGCTTTTCGCAAGAAAATCCGGCCTCAAACACATTTTACGTCAAAATTAAATTCAAAAAGGCAGTCACTGAATATAGTAGAACAGTGCAAACATAATACGAGATAAACCCCATGTGAGCCTAGCGTGGATATCTGGACAGAGAATTTCCCCAATTTGTTCACTCTGTGCTTTGTAGAAGAGTGACTAACCGGAAGTTGCTTAAACTGATATGAGTACTTTAGAAATTAATCAACAAAATAAATTTTATTACTCCAAAGTAAAAAAAGGTCGGCAGCTTCTTTTAATATGCATGACATCACTGATTTTTAAAATTTAGTTTGTATAGCAGAGTAAAAAAAAAAATGTTATAATGTTTACATTGTCAGCCGTATGACATATTCCCGGCACGTCTGATTTCTGGTTACAAATTATATCTAGGGTACAAGGAATATCAGCTGCTTTTTACCGATTATCAAACATGCTTTACCTTAATGGGGCTCCGTGACAAAGGTAAGCTAGAAAACTTCTTTCTACTGCGTTTAATTTCTGATATGCTAAATCTTATTGGCCTGCTCTTTGATTTGGAAAAACATTAATTAAATATTTGTGGCACACTCTTTTCGTGCCGTGACATCTAGAGTTGCAGACACAGTTTTTGAATGTTTCGCTGAAAACTGAATTAACACAAAATAATTATGTTAGTTTTATTTAATTTATAGCGAGTTCGTTTCACGGCACTCGTGCCCACGCGTGCCCACTCGCAGCGTGGAACGGGTTCGTTTCGGCCGGCGCTCCACGAGTGGTTGCACTCTCCGAGTTCGTTTCAGCGCTGACACCCCACGCGTGCATGCACTCGCTGCACCGGGGAAATCGGGAGTGCGCCAAAATGCAATCCCGTCATGCCTCGCTCCGGCGGGGCCGGCGAGGAGCGGGATGCTACAATGTGTCGCGGAACCGAACGGAAAAAAAAAAGTAAATTTTCTGATAGAAATCGCGTACCGCGGGTAACGAAATCAAACGCGAGCTTGAATTGTGAGCGTCTGCTATTTCACGAAAGAAGCAATTGACAACCCGTGATTTATTTGCAGGTTTTATACCGCTCTGTTGCCGTTCAAACGCTGAAATATACCTGTGTGTAAAGAAATGCTCAGAACAAACGCAACCGCGGCGGGAGGCAGTCACTTGATCGAATGACGTTTTAGCGAACGCCCACGTTTCACCGAATGACACTTTAGCGAATAGTCGGACGCCGCACAGCGGCGTTTTCGGGTGGGCCAAATGGGTTCACATTTTTGTAATGAGCTGCCGCAGACTGTCGCCGCGAAGCGGCGAACGCGCAGCGCGGCGGATGGATTAACGCGCGCCCCCGTTATTCGCTAAAACGTCGATTCGCTCAAATGTCGCTGTTCGCTAAAATGTCATTCGCTCATGTGATATGGACCCCAGAAACCTCTGACTTCCCAATAAGCATCAGAGAAAGCTAAAGATAATGACTTTACCCGAGGATTGGGCAACATCATCATTTTTAACATTTACCTACGCAGCTAACTTGCCCCGTCGTATTTTGTTCGAGAAAGCTCCCGTTCTCGACGCCCTCACCAAGGCTAATATCTAATTCACCTATAATGACGATCCAAATCGAAAGTCCCAGTTTTGCTGGATATTCCAACAGTTTTAAGCCGTAGCCTTTCAGTGGTTCACGCATAATACCATGCTAAAACGGATCAAGCTTCTGCTCGGACAGCATCATCAGTTTTCTTCAGTGTAAACGATTATAAGGATTGAAAGATCGCAACCAGCTGCTTTGTAGACAGCTGGTTGCGGATATTTACGCCGTCTGTAACTATCTCTTCGGCAGCCGAGCTGCTTGAAGACATCGCAACCATAAACTACAGGTTGCAGTTGCCAACGTTTGTCGATAAACGTTGGTAGCGACTGCAGTCTCGCATTCCCACGCATCACTCGGAACAGAAAGGCGCTAGTTTCGGTTTGAAGTCGGTACCTTTTCTACAACATAGATGGCGGCAGCACCTGTCTTCTGCACTCGGTGCATTTGGCGAGTTCGTTTGAGTCCAGTTCTCCGTGCAACACTCTGTGAGTGCGATGCATTCTGGGAGAGAACTCGAACGGTGCCAGTGCGTGTGAAACGAACTCGCTATTAAATACCGTGCATACCTAGTTGCTATTCCGTTCAGTTTCTCTCTCATGGGAGCGTTTATAACGCAATAAAAATAAATAGCACTTTTCATTAGCAGCTTAAAGGGGCACTCAAGTGCTTTTTGGAGAAGCTTGTTTTTGGAAGCATATTGTTTGTTGGGCTTCAGTCAATAAAAATGACCAGTTCTAAATGGCAAGGCTCTCTAGTAAACTCACAGCAATAGAAATACACAGGCACTATATCCTCTTGCGGGGTCTATCCCGTGTCTCCACCACCTCCATAGAATTCGACCAATAGAAATAGCGAACTGCGAAAAGATTGCTAAAGTTATTATTATTGCTCTTTTTAGGCACATGCACATTTTATTTTGACAACAACGTCAAATCTTTGGCTGTAGGTGACGTAATACAGCTATTATTGTTTGAAAAAGAGCGAACTACGTTTTCTCCTCGCCTTGTTACGCGGGAGTGATGTGCCCACGCGGCGACGCGGCTCCGTCGTGGAAAGCGCGTGGCTCGCAGCTTATCTCGCCGCGAGAACGATAAGGAAGAGGATCTTCTTCCCGAGGCTCCTTTGTGTGTTAGCAAAAGATCCAATTTTAGCTGAAAAGAATGTCAAGTAAAGATGCCTTTTTACTGGCTAACTTGTATGTGCATTGCAGGAATAAGAGCAAGAATTCCTAATTAGTGTTCGAGTCTTCCTAGCCAATTTGGCTCCGAGAACACAGCACTTGGCTAGGCTTTACATGAAAACAATCTGTCCATGCTCGTGTTCTCCAGTCTTTCCCTTTGACTGTATCTAGTGGCGTTGTTCCAAAAATAATGTGTTATTCACAAAATCCGTCAAGTCGGTAAAAAAAATTATCTTGAAAAGACGTGCTTTTTCTCAAAGGTTATGGGAAACTCTCAAAGTGCCTTGGATTCGCCTCAATGGCTCGTAGCATCCACAGCAGTCGGTTGTTAGGTGACACGGAGTATAGCAGTAAGTGCTCAAAGGCGCCAAGAAGATGGCAGCCAATGAAAACTCCCAATGTTCTCGCTGAAACATGAAAATCGATAATGACATTGAACTGGACAAAAATAAGTTGTCATCTGGTTCTAACGCCTAACATTACATTTGGGCGAAGAACGACTGCTGGGCAATGCATTGTTTAGCGCTTTTATTTTTTTAAAGGGAGGGGTACCGAAACCCGGAGTAGGTGTCGCTGGGAAAGCGACCTCTAATTGCCTTGACCATGCAGGAGGGCAGTGGTCGCCTGTTCTTCTGTCCAAGTCTCCGCCACAGCCAAAGCACACACTGCCTATAGGCAGCGAACCGGAAGCGCCTGAAACAATGTCCACATTTATTGAATGTAAGGAACACCCACCAGCCATACACCTGAGGCAATGACCAGACTAATCGGATGTAATAAGCAATATTCGCTACTCTAAAATCTACACCTCTCTTGTGATTGTTTCCCCGGAAAAACCATCATATATTATGGTTCTCTTTTATGTTTCCTTTCGCTGTGCATGTGATGTATTTGCAACCAAACAAATGATCGGCACAACTAACTATACACCAACTCATGTTTATAAACAAACTGGAGCGACCCTAGCATACGCCACCGGCGCCGCGCATGCGCAATGGAGTGTGGGCAAGAAGCTCGCCTTTCCCCATAAACAAACCATTGAAATGCGATGTTGCCGGTGTCTGTGTGACTCCCCTTGTATTTTTTTGCGTTTGAATAGTTGACTACGTTTTCCTTGCAATGTCTGACTACTTGAGCAGCCTCAAGAACTGACGAGAGACAGTAGTCCAACTCTGACTCCATGTCAGTCTATAAAGCCACGTAACATCTATTCTCCCGGCAGCCAGAAGAATAATTTCCCCGAAATTCAACCGGCAGTTGACTCCCATTGGACCATTGACTGTCGCCAAGGGAAAGCGGAGGCGAAGGGGGGGGGGGGGGGGGGTTGTTTAACACTGGCCCGAGGGATACACGCGCGATGAAGTGTCCCTACAGCGTGCAATTCGCGTAACGAGTGTCGATGAAACGTCAGCGTCGACAATACGTATCCAGGAAAAATTGTCCATGAAACGTGTTTCCATGAGATGTTGGAAGAACAAGAAAATCAGCATTCTACCGGCAGTTGTATGATTTCAGACAACCAATGGGAGGCGATCGTCGGTAGAATTTCGAAAAATTATTCTCCCAGCTGCCGGGAGAATAGACGCTGTCATAAAGCTACCCGTCCTTATCCTTGGCCCGCGGCTTGGGAGGCATGGGCATGGAACCAAGAACGCACGGCAAACAAGAAAAAAGCAGACACGCAAAGCGAAAAACATTCAAAAGCAGTTGAACGCTAATGATGATTTCTATTCAAAGCTATCACGCCGCTTCAATGCGTACGCAAGAAAAACGGGGGCCGAGGCAGAACAGCAAGTTTCGCGACCGGTAACACGAAGTTGTACTCACTCGTTCGAGGTTGCCCCCATGTTTCTTTCACCATAGTGGCGCATGTTCAACAAGGCCAGCTGTAGCATACCCGGATCGAGGCACAGCCCCTCGAAATCCGGGTGGCTTGTCACGCAGCTCTGCCGGCCCTGCTGCTTGCGAACGGCGGCCGGGTAGTCACGGCAGCAGACACACTCTGCGACGGTTTCCATCGGCACGCAGCAACTGCATTGGCACCTTAAAACAGAAAACCAGCATCAGCTATACATATGAGAGGTATAATAAACAGCTCATCACCTACCAGTTGGTGTTCCCAAGCCGCTGGGTTGCGTCGTCGGTTTCGTCGTCTTCCTCCGGTGTCGACATTGAGCATCGCGAACTGTCGTCCGAGTCCGTCGCGTTCGGGGCATCAGCGTCGCGCGTAGGAGTGGCGTCGTAGGAGATTGAGCTGATTTCTGCCGTCCGCCGAAGAATTTCCACCTCCAACGGTGTTAGATTTGGCAGGTCCATCTCCGCACGACGCAAGACCCGAAGTAAACAAAATGAGTCCCAACGAGAATCCATCAAATACGCGCACGTTCGGAAGATCACTCCGCCGGTTCGAAGGATCAATCCGCCGGGAAGCCGTCACTCGTGATTGGATGGCGCACGCCCTTCCCTGCTGCCTTCCCGTCCGACAGCGCCCCTGACGGCCTGCGCCTAGGCGCAGAACAGCGATCTTTGATTGAATTTTTAATAGGGAAATCGGCCGCCCTTGAATGTAATTTTGGGATTTCTAGGATGCTTAGAGCCCGCAGATTGAGTTATGACAATAAATAGACGATCTCAGAATCCACTTGAGTGCCCCTTTAAGTATTTAGAAAAACTTGAAGCTTGAACCTGGATATTTCTTTTTTCTACATTATTTACTCTTTT